GTTAAGTCACGAAACATTTTGAAAAAAGTTTGAGTAAAAAATTCGAAGTGGTTTTGTAGAAAATTATGTAGTTAAGTTATTTTCAGTAAGATAATCGGGTTGTCGATCACAAGTCACGAGATATTTGAAAGGCACGGGAGTTAGGGAAATCATAAGCGTCGCGGAATACATTTTCGATAGGTAAACATTTAATATAAGCAATTTTAACCACGAAGTAATAGAGCTTTATTTTTTGCTTCGCAGTTACAAAAAACCAGATTTGAATATTTTCTTTGTAAAGAACACTTTCAGAAAGAAAAAATGCAGATTCTTTTAGAAGAAGAGTATAGTTTTGTCTTCATTTATAATTGTTTTTATCCCAATTTTATATTTGCTAAACTTTGTACAGAAATGAAGCAGGATTATAAATACCTTGGTTGGAAGAATTTCAGTGTTGAGTATTTGGAAAATAATTGTGACAAAGTCAGAAAAGTACGTTTTGCTTCATGGTTCGGTTATACAATTAACGCAAATAGTGGATGATATGGTTCTATGAGCGACATGTTTCAAATATATAAGCTGGCTTGTGAGAAAGCTTTACATCATTTTGCCAAATCTAGTAGTATTCTACGAGATGCTTATGAAGGATTTTTCAAGATTTCCAATGTATATATTATTTTTTATCCCATCTATAGTATTTTCATATGATGACATTCCATCTATTCTGAGAATCAATTTCATACCACCTTCTCACACTTGAGATTTGGGCCCTGATGGTTATTCATGATATATGAAGAAATTGGAGATCTGATTAAATAAGAGTGTTGAATAATAAGTAGAATATAGAATTTTCATATATTGACTCCTCTATTTTTATAGAACAAGCAAAGAATGCAATATATATCAACAGTGGAGACTATGGAATCAATGGTTAACTGAACTACTATAATTTTGCTTTAGAAAAACTTATTACTAACACTAACATATTTTATATATTTCAGATTTCTCTTAAATTCGTAAGTCCAACAGAGGAGAATCTTGTCTTTTCAAACAAGAAAAAAATTGGAAAATGATTGGTAACGCATTCATATTATGGGATTTATAGTTTTTTTTTGCTTGTTCTTACTTGATACTTTTGTAGAATGATTTAATCCAAAATGAGACATCCCATTCATTGCTATTATATGAGTTGAGGGACCTCTTTGAATCCTTCGATACCAGCAATATTGAATAGAATGATCTACTCAGCTTTAGTTATATTATTGATCGAAACTCAGACATAATTTTTGGAAAGTTACCAGAAAAACAAAAGAAGAATTTGAGAGAAATTATAAATTTGGCATATGATCAATATGAAATAAGTCCTGTTATTTCTGACTTGGTTAAAGTCCTTTTAGAAAAATCAAAGAGCTTGAATAAAAGGGAAATGATGGTTTCACTTTCACCTATACCAGCGGATTTTCAAGGAAATGATGAGGAGTTTGAAGACATATATGTGATGCATAGGATTATAGACTCAGTGTAGGTAATTGAGCTTCTCTGTCTTGATAATTAACCAATTTCTAATACTCTTATTCTTATAGTCAACATATCTGATACTACTTTAACGATAAAAACAAGGCTGAATACACTGAGGGGACATATATCATTCGCATAGTGTCCAACTTTCTTGATCCACTGTTTTGCTACAAAAATACCAAACTTAAAATCATCTGGTAAAGTTTTAGATAATGTGTAAAATATGAATTTTTAGGTTCGGTACATACATCTTTGAATACAGCTACTGTTCTTCTCTCAGGAGAAAAGTCATCAACCTTTGGCATTTTATCAGATTTCATTGCTCGGAATGTAACATCTTCACGATGTGGTTTGGGGCTATTTGCAATTATTTTATAACAATCTCAGAGATATTTATACTTGGGCTCATTAATTTGATGACCAATCAAAATCAAATCATCATTTTTAATATATCTCGTTCCACCTTTTTTCCCACTAAACAATCGATACATTTTATTTCCAAGTAAAAGGTTGATAACTTTGTTAGTTTTTCCTGATCTTGTTCGTCCACTGATTAATAAATTGAATGGCTATTGAGATGTACTATTAAGGCTATTAAATCTCTCTATATTTTTGTATTTGTCAATATTCAAAACCATCCTTTCAACAGGGTCAAGCTTTTCTATTTTCATTCTGATTGGATAAGTCACTAATTATTA